TGCGACTTTTGCACAGGAGACTAAAGTACAGCTCCTTGTTTTGAGCCGCTTAGAACGTGCCAAATGTGCTGACCTTCCTGGGCAAGGTTGCTTTTAGGGACTTTCAGGGACTTTCTGTCCCTTCTTGCTATGGAAGCCAAGGACCATGGGCTTCCACAAGCACCCCTCCCCATCCTGGCCCCCTTTGGTTGTGCCTGTTTTAGTGTTTTGTTCTGTTTTTTTCTCCCTGGGCTGCTTGCCAGCTCCTGGGCCCTTCGCCAGCAGCTGCGTGCGTGCGTTGTGAACTCCTCCAGCCGTGCTGCTCCGCCTGCCCCCAACTGCCCCAGCACCCCAGGGCTTGCTGTGCCTGCCACCACTTCACTGCCGTGTGCTCCAGATGTCTGCGTCACATTCATTGTGCCCCTTTGGTCTTATAGAGTGGGCAGGTGTAAAGGCAGAGTGACGTGCATCCATTGCTTTCCCACTGCTGGACTGCTGACAGCATGCTGGGGTTATGAACTTGAATTCTGCCTGCAGACAGTGAAGCAACAGCCCCCTCAGTGCTTCCCAGCCCAGCCTACTCCTCTGTTGACCCCATGACAAGCAGTACCCCTGCAGCCCTGGCGTAGGATGGACTTGTGCTGCTCTGGCAGGATGCTGACCCCTTGTCCCGCTGCCTGCAGTGCTGCTCAGTGCCTGTCCAGGATGCCCTTTCTGCCTTTCGCCTCCCCATGGGCCCTCTGGGAAGGTGGGGTACTCCACAGTGGGCTGAGGGCCCCATGTCTCCAGCCTGCATCCCTGCAAAAAAGCCTTATACTGCAGGCAGAGTAGAGAGTACACCTTCACTGTACGCTCAGAGAACAATAATGGCTTTTGTTTCCCCCAAATGACGAAGTGAGCTTGTGAAATATCAAAGGCAGCATGGGTTACAAGGCACAACAACCCAGGCTGTTACCTGGGCACAAGGCCAGGTATACCCCTTCCCTGTTTCTCCTGGGAGACTCTGGAACCACGGCTCTGTTGCTGCTGTTTAGGAGGAGGGAAGATAGGTAGTGACCTGCCATTACAATCTGAGCATGGGCGTAATATCTGTCATGTCTTATCATAAAGAGCCCTTTTGGACCAGTTCAACAGCTTTCTCTTTTGTGCTCCTAGTTCTTGAGCAATTGCAAAGAATAGTGGCATTTGTGCCCTAAGTGGCTGCTTTGCCCTTCTGCATTTTGATGACTTTCCACGATCTGGCAGACTGGAATTTGGTGGAAGGAAAGAAAAAAAGAAAAATAAAGGAAAAAAAAAAGAAGAAGAAAAAAAAAACAACTGGGTTGCTGTTGATAACATAGCAGAAATAATGATATCTTGCTCTTGCTTTCCATCTATGATGTGCCAGCAATGGAGAACAACCAAGGCTGGCGCTGATGGCTCCTTTCCACTGAATCCATCAGCTTTGATGTTGAACAAACACAGCTGAGAAGGAACACAGGTGCTGAGGGAGGAGAGATCGCTGCCTTTCAAGGTACATTCCTGACGCACGGCCCAGACCCAACCTTCAGTCACAGCTTCAGAGAGCAGCCGGGGAGGAATTCTGAGGGTCTCTTTTTGCCAGGGGTAAGATAGGAAGAGCTCACAGCCCCGCTGCTTCCAAAGTAGAGCTTTCAGCCTCAAGCCCTGGAACCCAGGATCTGCATGCACCGAGCTGCCACTGCACCAAATTCACATTTTGTCCCATTAAATCATGTATCCTCAGTTAGATTAATTTCTGTCCCATTTAGGGACATCTGTCTGGTTTGGGCTTTGCAGCAGTTTGACGTCCAGTCCTGGGCAACAACATGTGCCAAATCCTTTAAAAACACCGACAATCAAACAGAAGTGGGTGGATGTTTTCAACATTCCTTTATTTTTGCATGTGTGCCTGGTTCTTAGTAAGTGTCTGGGGGAAAAAAAAAAAAAGATATGACTGATGATTTGTTGCTCTCTCTTTGGAAAAGGTCCAGACTGTAGAATAGGGCTAAAATGCCAGGAAAGAGCTTGCTGCATAGAGACAGGCTTACAAGGTCTGATTTTATGCATTTTCTGAGCAACACGGTTTCTTTAATTCGAGCTCCTGTAGAAGTCATTTCATATCTTTATTCGGCACAGCTTTGCCACTCTTCTTCTCGGTTTTCCTTATTTTTAGAAAGGTGAAGTGTGGCTCCCAAATTAAATCATTACTGGGATGGATTTCAGCCAAGGGAGTCATGGTCTGAGCCGTAAGGCACAGGAAAGATAAGCAGAAGTGAAACAATGTGGGATTTTTTTATTTTTTATTTAATTTGGCAGAATGAGGAGAGAGATGGCCTTGAAAGATTTGTGGCTTTACATAGACATAATGTATTTCAAACAATGGTGGGGACTATGTTATCTCTCTTTGCTAGAAAGGAAAGAAAGAAAGAATGAAAGAAAAGCACACCCAGGGACTTTTGAAACGTCAAGATTGCCAAATTTTCCTTAATTCCAAGAAAGTGTCTATGTTTGGAGTTCTCAGAGATGCTTACAGTAATGGCCCAAACACAGGCTGGAAGGGGCTGATCCTTACCCTTTGCTGACGTGCTTCTGCCTGCCACAAAGGCACCACTCGTGGCAGCCCAGCCCCCAGCCAGCTCCTCTCCCCAGCACTGCCATCCCTCGGGTCAGTGCCTTGCTTCAGTGACCCGGAGCCCTTTCCCCAGATGGGACAGCTTTGCTCTGCTGTGCTCCTTGGATGTCATTTCGCAGTGATAGAGCAAAGCTGGCTCCCATGAGATTTGCTGCAGCTGGGGTACGAGCGTGCTGGTGAGCCACACAAACACGTACCAGCGCTGGAAGCAAGAACGCAGCTCCCTTCTGCCATCACTATGGCCAAATCCTCCCTGTCAGGGCACTGGCACCTGCAGCTGAGCACGGAGCTGCTTGACATGGCTGGGGTGGCTGTTCCCAGCTGCTGCCCCAGCTGAGCCACTAGGCTTAGGGAAAAGAAGCAAGCTAATAATTAAAAATTTACTGTCCATGTGAAACAGCTTATTAAGCTTTGCCCTTGTGCTGGGAACAAATGTATCTGAGCAACAAAAACAAACAGCCAGCAAGCCAGACTTAGTATCCCCCTTTCCAGCTCTTTAAGTGATGCTATAAGTTTATAGTAAAGTCATTTTGTTTCTAAGCACTCCGGTGTTTGGAAGCAGCATGTCTATCCCCCACATCATCAAAGCCTGGGCAGCCTGACCTAGTAGGTGGCAGCTCTGCCCAGGGCAGGAGTTGGAACTGACTGAGCTTTAAGGTCCCCTTCAACCTGAGCCATTCAGTGATTCTGTGCCACATGCCCTGAACGTTCATGGTTCAGTGCAATGTTTAAAGCTGCCTATCCATATCCAAGATGCAGGCTGTGTGTACCACAATCCATTCCAATGCATTTTGAGGGATGCAGGGGCTGACTCTGAAAGAGGGCACAGCCATGTGTCCCCGTGCTCAATCCATCAGCTCTGCAAACGAGGGTCCCCACCACGGACCAGTTCATGGAAGAGTTAATCCCTCCTCTAGCTCACACAGCAGAAACTGGTGCTTTCTCGGGGGAGAGGTCTTGGTGTTTGTCAATGTCTTGTCTTAAAATGTGGTAAGACATCATGAAATACCATTTACATTGCTCCTTAATATAAATGTCAGGAAAAGATTTTGTACTAGAGGCAAGATGAATCCATGTGAGAATCTTTGACCGAGTCAACTCTCATTTCTTAAACTGTCTAGCTAAGTTGCCATGGGCCCAAGCACTCAGACTTGTCTTCCCTTTTTGAAAACCTGCAAGCTCACAGACTTTTTGGTGACCACCTATTTTTAGAATGCTCCCTATTGGGGTGCAAAAAGACAGCAACCAGTAGGAATGCTAAAAATTCTTCATATAAAATGTTATCTGTTAATTTTGAGTGTGTGTTCATTCCAGGCTCTTTGCTCCAGAAAGAAAGACAGAAGCAGCAGTAAGGCATCAGTGATGGATGATGAAATTCCAGTTTGATGGAAAGCCTCTCGCAAGGGGGAAAATAAAAACCTCAGAAGGCTGTAGAAGAAAGGAAGAAGAGAAAATGGATCTCGATCCCTACAACAACCTGAAAGGAAGCTGTACTGAAGTGGAGTTGGCCTCTTCTCCCATGTAACAGTGATAGGATGAGAGGGAATGGCCCCAGGGTGCACCAGGAGAGACTCAGGTTGGGTGTTAGGAAAAACAGCTTATCCAAAAGAGCGGTGCTGCAGTGGCACAGGCTGATAGGGAGGTGGTGGAGTCACCATCCCTGGAAATGTTCCAGAACCATGTGGTTCTGGAACAGAAGTTCTGGACAGAATTGGTAGGCATGGTGGGAATGGGCTGATGGTTGGACTTTGTGATCTTAGAGGTCTTTTCCAACCTCAATGATTCTGTGATTCAATCTAGAATCGTAAGGAAACTAGCCAATAATGTCTACTTTTGTTGTCTCTCATTGAAACCAGGAACAAACTAAAAGCTCAAGGCACTTAAAAACACTAAAAAATGAAATAGTTGCAGATTCCACAGGAGCTCCTGAAGGTCCCTTGGCAAAGCCAATGCTGGGACCGGATGCTCAGGAGGATTCAGGGCAGTACCAGGCTTTGATAGGGAGCAATGGGAACAGCCAGAATTACCTTAGATGGCTTTAAAAATAAGCCAAGGAGATCATGCTCTCTCACACACTGCACAGAAAATCAGCCATGAGAGACGTTTCTGTAGTGGAAAGGTTTCAGCTGGGGCTTTCCATGGCTTCGTTTGAAAGTGAGGACAGGAAGGGACAGGGCATGGTGGCATGTGACCATTTTGTGAGTGGTGATGCTGTGCTCCCCGTCACATCCCCACATGTGCTTGTACTCACCCGACACACAGAATAGGGTTGCTCATCCCTCAAAGCACTGGGGCTGCCCCTCAACCTCCCTCCTACGAACCTCAGTCCCACTGAGGTAGAAAGCAGCAACCTCCCGTGCTCAGAAATAAAAGCTACCACACACATGCCTTGGTTTCCTTTCAGACTTTGTAATTTTTTTTTTAATTATTATTATTTTTATTATTTCCTCCTTTTAAGCATCCCTTTAAGGGTGAAATGAAATCCAACCATTTACAGAGAAAATGATTTCAGAATGTACATTTGATTTATCCTTACAAAAAGTTCATTATTACTTGCTGTTTATAAATTACAGAGTGGAAAGGAGCTTTGCAGATTCTTTTTTTTTCTTTTTTTCTTTTTTTTTTAAATTGTTTTTGGCAAGTCCACGCATTCTTTTGCCAGTACAGTGTCCTGATGCCACCAGCAGGTCCAGGTGGAACCCAGCATCAGCAGTGCTGCTGGGCCTCCTCCAGGACGATTCTGCATCACCATCCTCACAGGAAAGAAAAAAACCAACAGTGGCTTTGATTCTTAGTTTCAGAGCATTTCAGATCCCTTTTTAAGCCATTATCTGTAGTCCCCAATGCTTTAGATGTTGGTATATAGCATCAGAAACAGCTCTCCTTGGTGCTGGATTCGAGCCACTCCTGACATCTCCAGCTCCCCCTCTTTTTCAGTAAGAGCAGATTCATCCATTGTCTCAGAAATCAGAAGGAGATTTTTTGGTGGATAGGGGAAACGCAGCAATAGAGGGATTTGGGATCCATTCTACCGTACTTCTCTCCCTTCTCACCAAGGCTTGAGGTCAGTGAGGCCAGCATGAGCCCCAACCCTTCCCTCTTCACCACCAGTGTTTGCTAACAGGACCAGGAGTGACTCCCGACACGTCTTCACAGTGCACAGGCATAGCAGCCACGGAGTGCTGGCAGGAGCAGCGGGACAAGAAGAGACACTGCCACCCCACAAGGACACACCAAGAGGCACCAGGGGAACAAATACCCGTTCTGCACTGACCCTGCCCCCACCCTGACTCTTAAGTTACCTGGAGGCCACAAGGTCCCCTTCCTTTATCCAGCACAGAGGCACAAAGAACAGGCTGCACAACAGAAAACACCTCAGCAAGACACAGGGATCAGAGAAAGCAACAGTGAGAGCAGACTGTTGAGTATGTTGTCCTTCATGCAGGCACAACCCCATCCAATCCCTTGCTGGGTATACTGCACCTCCTCACTGCCTTTGTTCCTCTGGAGGGACAGAGGCATTAGCCCACATCCTCTCCTTCACCTGGGAAGAAGGAGGAAGAGAAGCTTTCCACTTCAAAGCCATGCATGGGCACAAAGGAAGTCAAGCAGAGTTGGGCAGAAAGAAGGGCAAAGTATAGGGATGCACCAATTACAGATAACACCAATTAACCTGAAGGTGAAAAGGTTCTGGGGAAGAAAAAGCACACATCTGTGGGGAAAGGTTGGTGAACCACGGACAACGTTGGTCCCAGAAAGACAGTGGGCTCATGGTTTCGCTGCAACAACCAGTCCTGGGGCAGAATGGGATTTGGTTTTCAGTTCATCCCTTTCCAAACTTCATTGTCTGGCTCAGACAGGGATGGCTGAGGGCAAGCCACCACCTTGGGAAATCGCTGTGCAGAAGTCATCGTGCTTATCCCCATCCCTCAAGGGAGGCGATGGAAGACTTTTAATGACAAGCACTCCAACTCCCTAAGGATAATAAACACAGGGCTTACAGAAACAACAGGAACATTAACTGGTTTGGCCTTAAATCAAAACACTGGATGATTCTTGAGAAAGAAAAAGAAAAAATGCATTTCAGCTGTGAAGTCCCTTCCTCCATCCACAACAGAAGCCTGTTTTAAATTTGATTTCCTAAGAATAAGGAAATGGAGACATCCAGGAGGTTGACAGGGCCAGAGTCGTGCAGAAGAGCCCCAGTGCTGCTCTCGCCTGTTCCAGTGGGACCTTCTCAGAAGGGAGAAGAGGGGAACAATGGAGCAAATAGTGAAAGAGAGGGGAGGGAAGGGAACAGGCTGAACTTTGGGAATAGGAGATGCTGATAACTGCAGTTACAGCTTATCTGAATCTGCTGAGATGAAAACCATACCCCAGTGATGAAAACACAACTTGCAATGCACTAAAAATCCCCACGGAAGCCCATGTGTGGGAAGGGCTGGTAGGATGGGAGAGGCTGCTGCCACTGCAGATCGGGTGGTGCAGCCTCAGCATGCGTGTGCTTCTGCCTGTTTTCTGTGGTGCTCTGCTGCTCCCAAAGCATGTATGCAATGACTGACCTCTCCCGTCTTCAGGAACGCCTGACCTGAGACTTGTGTTGTCACCAAGGCAATGCCTGAATGTAGATCCTAGATTGAAAATGAGGAATAGCTTCTTCCCTTTTTACTTTTCAATTTACTGTTACCAAATCCCTTGTGTCAATACACTGGGCTCTCCTCTGGTTATCCCTGGGGAAAGCTCTCATGCAGCAGTCTCAGAGCTATTGCTCTAACTTGCTAAAAGTGACTCCTCCTTTCTCATCCAAGCCCTGATTTCTCTACAGTCTCCCCCTGCCTCTGTGTCCATGTGACCATGTCTCTGTGACCATGGCAAAATTCCCTCCTGCATCAACAAGACTGAGCTCGGCAAAGCCACAGCTTCTCTTTGAGGGGAGAGCATTCCACCCACCAAGCCTTCTCCTGCTCAGTTCTCAAAGGGACTTTCCTCTTCTTGGGAAACACATCACAAAGGAAAACAGCAACATACACGTATATATTAAAAAGAACACAAAAACAAAACAACAAGAAAAGAGGGGATCCCTCAGTTCTTCCAAGCAGACATTGTGGCACGTGAGATGGGGGGAAGGAACTAAGATGAAGTCCAACTCAGTTTGATCAGAAAAACAACATTCATCTTTCTGTTCAAATTTAATTCTTCTTAGGGAACCAAATTATCTTTCCTGATGCTTTTCACATCTCTAAAGAAGCAAATAGAAGAGAGAGAGAGAGACAGAGATAGGAATGGAGCGCAATGGAGAGAATGGGATGGATGACATGGGAATATGAAGCCCTGATGGAGTGAGTTGAGGTCAGTGGAAACCCTCTTGTTCCAGCTGGCCTGATGGCAGGGTCACTCTTCATTATGACAACATTCTCCTCCTCCACATGATCCTCACTTATTTGTTTGGAAGACGAGCCAATATTTCCACTGTAAGGCCAACAGAGCACATTCGTGTTTTTCTCCCTCTTCCCACCACAGCGTGGGCTCTGGGCACCCTGTCAAGCCATCTGCTAAGGAAGGGTGGTGAGGGTGGAGATGCCAATCTGCTTCCTCAATGAGCTGAACCAGTCTACTACAGCAACAGGCTAATCTTGGCTACCCATCAGTGGCCAGCTCTGTGTGGACACTGGCCCACCAGCTGCAAGGAATGTCATCCTACATCTCCTCTATTCTGCATGGCCTAATCTGCACAGTCCAGGCTGTGGATTGCATGATTGTCCCAGAAAAGTCTTCTGGCCCCAGAGGGATTCTACCCACAGCTCCATTCTCCACAAGCTCGCAGTGGGTCCTGTGCCTCAACATGCTTTGTGTTTCCCCACAACACCCATTGGTGACTCAGAACTTTGCCCTTCTCCTCTCATTTCCCCCATGGCAATTGAAAATAGCCAGCACATGTAAACAGAATCCTTGCAGCAGGCACAGCCCACAAGGGTGCAAAGGCAGCCAGAGAGGCATGTAAGAGCTCCACATGGCACACCCTGCTATGAAGAGCTGATGCTCTCCCCGAAATGCCATCCATGACAAGACAGATCACAGCTTATGGATGCCACCATTTCCTGAAAATACACACACCACCCAAGACCAACTTTGACCCCTCCCCTCCCAACACCAGTGACAAACACCCACGTGCATACCAAAACCATGCATGTTAGCACTCATGCACATAGGAAACCATGCACTTGTAAACATATACTCCCACCATCTGATTTAGTCCCCTGCAGCTTATCCCAGACCCAAACAAAGCACATGCTGCAGGGAAGATGCTTCAGCTCCTGTGGAGCAAGCCAGTGCAGCATTTTGGGGGCAGGGTGAAAAGGGAGTAAACAGAAAAAAAAAATTAAAAAAAAAAAATTAAAAAAAATTGGCTTTCCTCTCTGCTTCCCACCTGCCTGCTTCAGGTCTGGTAGAGGATCAGGCTGAGAAACAGCCTCGGACAGATATATTAAATTTGTGGGAGGAGGCAGTGTGTAGGGGAGAACACCTTGGAAGCAAAGGATTTGCCTTCCCCAAAATACCTTGAACATAGAGGTATAAAAAAAAATGCATACTGAGATGCTTTTGCACATTCACTCATCCAAAAAATGCCTGTGACACACATCTGCACATGTGACCCCTCGCATCGCTTTGTGCCTGCTGACTCAAACGCTCAATGAACAGCTCAGGCTCGCATCTGTGCTTGCTCCAATCCACAACAGATAAAGGTGGATGGGAACAGCTGCCCTCTTTCCTCAGGGAGCCCTCCCAGCCCCACAAGAAGGAAAATCCACCAGCTGGATGCAGCAAGTCTCTCCAGCCAGCAGAAAGGTCCAGAAGACGCAGGGAGGTCTTTATGCTACTGCCCACACCTCTCCCCTCCTCCTGCCCAGGTCTCCCTTCATTTGTCTGAGGAATTTGTCCCCAGGCATCACCGTGGGAAGAAGGGAAGGGAGGTAGGACAGAGACCATGGAGAAATGGCACACCCCATCTGGAATCAAAGAAAACAAAAAAGAAAGGAACAGACAAACACCCAACTCTTTCCCTTTGTCGTGAAGTTCTGATTTCCCACAGCAGTCCAGCGATCTCAACCAGCACCCTCCGCTTTTCGGTATGGGTTCTCCAGCAAGTAATGGAACTGCTGGTAGTTCTTGAGCAGATACTTGGGAGCATACATGTGCTCCTTAGGGTCAGCAGGGGGATACTCCTGCGTCGTACCATCAAACCAGCCACCAGTCCGGATCAGCTCCCGGATATAATTGAGGTCTCGTTTATCCTCGTAGTCACCCCAACGGGGGAAGTCCCCATTCTGGGCCGATACCAGTTTGAAGTAGATCCCCTCTGGGGTGAAACACCAGGAGCAGTGCCAGCCAGCAAAGTGGAGGGGGCTGCCCAGCGACCACTGCACCAGGATGTGTCCCGTGCTGTTCTCATACTGCCGGAAACCAGGCATGGTGTAGTATTCACGGCGCCGCAGACGGATCCCATCAGTAGCATAGACAGCCTGGAGCATCCCCATAGTGCAGCCTGAAACCACCTCCAAGGTGCCCGGTTGCTTCCAGAAGAAGCCATAGAGAGACTTGCGCATGTGAAAGGCGAAGGGTTCCGTCCAGCCGTCGTAGAGCTTGAGGAAGAGCACGCCGTCACGAGCCGGGATCTCATCAGCATCATCGATGATGAACACATCATCCGGGCGCAGGTTGCGGAGGCGAGAGACGCCATCTCGGGTGAGGAAGGTGCGCAGGTAATCGTCAGCGATCCAGCCATCCTGGCGCCCACCAGCAGGGAAGTGGTCCAGGAAGACATAGAGCACTTTGTGGCGGATGTACTCATAGGAGCCGTTGAGGAGCATCTCGCGGAACTTGAGGGGCCGTGGCTCTCCGTAGGCCGTGAAGTTCGATTCACACACCACAAAGACATCCACCACATCTCCCAGCTCGTGGAAGCGGACATCCAGCAGGTCAAACTCATGGTTGATGTTGATAGCGTTGATGACTCGCCGGGGGATCTCCCGTGGCACCAGGCGGTCCTTGGTGGGCAGGTTGGAGTACTGGACCACGGTAGGAACGCCACAGCTGGGGCCGTGCCAGCCCGGCAAGCACACACACTCCACCCACTTGCGCCGCTTGGTCCCACCTGCGCTCAGCGGTTTGCGAGCAGGACGCCCTGAAGCCGCACCATCTGCGCGCTCCTCCGGCCGCCCTCCCACTGGTGGCTTCTCCAACACCTTGGTACCCGGTTTAAAGCAGACACCGCCGGCTTTGGTTCGGACAAAATATTCCGTCGTGTCTTCCGGCAGCACAAACTCGACTTTGTGCAGCTCTTCGCTGGCTCTGCTGGGTGGCAGGGGCTGGAGTAAGGGAGAGTGGGAGTACAGGGGTGTGCGGAGGAACTCCGCGCCCCCCGGTTCAGGGCTAACCTGTGGCGTGACGGGGGCATTGTTCCAGAAGAAGCTGGAGACGAGGTTGGGGCTCAGTGAAGCCAGGTCCCGGGGGAAGGTGACATAGGAAAGGGCCTTCAGGAAGTGCAAGAAGGAGATGAGGCAGAGACCAGCCATGCAGAGAGTCAGAAAGAGCTTATGGCGTCTCATCTTCATCCTGTGGAAAAGCCATGAAAAGGAAAGTCACATTCGGGAATTACCAGGGTGCAAAAAAGCTTGCTAGTGGTTGGAAAATAGGCTGGGGATGCTACAAAGCCGGTCCAAACTCAGCATGCATCTATCAAGAATTGAACCCAAACCAAATCCCCCACACCCTAACATTTTTAGTGGGCCTTATGCTTTGGATTGGTTGTAACAAGCTAAACCTCCTCTAGAGCAGATATAGCCTTATGGTCTCACACAGAGAGGAAAGGTGCCGGCAATGGGGTAGAAAGATGAGAAATCCACAACAAGAGGAGTTCACTATCCAGTGAGGCACTGCACTTAGCACATTTGTCCCCACTCACTGATGGGAACAAATAAACACAGACCTTGAGTCAGGGAAGATGAAGAGACAGCAGGTTAGCAAGAGGGATGAGAGGGAGTACAGGGTATGCAGCTGAAACCCAGCCAGCATAAGAAAAGCAGTTTTAAGGGATTGAGCTCATAGCTAGGCTGCCAGGACCAGGAAAACACCTATGCTTCTCAGATCTTTCCAGTGTTTACTCACAACACACCTTAAAAACCCCTTGTTCCTAAGAAATTCTAGCCAAGTTTGTATGGGAAATAGAGAAAAAGTGTTAAGATTTTCCCTTTTATTCACCTCCCATCCCTCTGTGCCCACTATGTTTCCAGCTGTCTCCCTTTGCTTTTCATCTTTCATGGACCAGATGCTGAGGGGTTTTTTTTGCATCTGTATAAAGGTGGCTATAAAAACTGCCTAGCTGTCTCTGCTGGCAATATAGTGCTGTCACAATGGATCCATATCAGACCAGCAAAGAGCCAGCGGTGCTCAGCCCTTTCTTCAGAACAATAAAAAAAAAAACAGTCTTCATTCTCTTCCTATAGCACCTCCCCTCTGCCAGTCCGTGCTGGGAACGCAGAGCTGCTGTCAGGCAGAAAAGTGATTGAAGACTACAATCCAGAAAAAGGAAGAAGGGGGAAAAAAAAAAAAAAAGGAAGAAAAAAAAACAACCTCATCCAACACTTCACCAGGCAGAACAAGGAAAGGCAGCTGCATGCTGCTGCTTAGGGAAGGTTGAAGCAAACAGGCAAGGGAACAAGGTGACCTGAACACCCTCAGCAAGGTAGAGGCTCTCCCCCAAAAGCGTAAAACCCTCCACGCCCAGGAAACCCACCAGCACGCTCCCGACATGTTCCACTGCGTTCCTCAATGGCAGCTCCCCACCATGTCATGACACCTGCACATGTGTCTCAGTGTCTCCTCCCTCGGCCAAAGGTCCCCACGACAGGTATGCCACATCCCATGCCATTGCTTATAAACCCCACGCAGCACTCACAGGCAGCCCAAGCCCTCAGCCCTGTGCCAGGGTGCTCCCCTTTGCCAGCCGGGCACTTTCCATGGCCCACATGCATCCTGGATGGGAGCAGAGTGGAGAAGTGTCCAGCCCACCCAGGGGGAATGAGTGAAATACAACAGGGCACGTTTACTGATTAACCTGAGGAGAACTTAACGCTGAAGGGAAAAGCCATAAATTAAGGCAGATGGCAACCACTCAAAGGAAATCATATCTGGCCACCGAGGGCTCCAACATGGACTTTGATAAAAGGGTTGTCCACGTTCATATCTTACAGTTCAGCAGCAAGCACTCCTAGAAGCTTCGCTGTTGCCTTTTTAGTGACATTTTTAGGAAATCCACCAATGCCATCCCCTGCATTGTGGTTGTGGCAACTTCATTTTTGGTGGGGTTATTTCACCGTAAAAACAGAGACTGTAAGCCTGAAGCCAATGGAAGAGTTACAGGGTTTGCTTTTGATATATTTCGACACAGCACAGTGGAGGGACCCACCACGGCCATGGCCTCACGAAAAGCTACCTCTGTGGTGATCCACTGATGGAGGGCCTGGTGCTGTTCCCTTCTCCGAAGCTGTAAAGGACCATCTTGCTCTTCCTCAGGCGTTCTTCCTGGGGCTAAAGCAAGAGGCTACAGAAACCCAAAGGCATCTCATTGTGCCCAGGAAATTTACTTATCTTAGTCTTTGTTATTGTCTTTTAGGAGCAGAAGGACCACTTACTCAAGAAGCAGTATCTGGCACCTCTTCCTTCTACACCACCAGTTTTGCTCCATCCTGACATAAGGGGAAGAGAAGAATACAAGGAATCTGGAAAGACAGCTAGCAGAGGCTGCTGGAAGACATCCCTTGCTGGTACATTAGTGTAGCTCTCTTCAGTTGAGCGTCCTGTACTTCTGCAAGGTGTTACCTCTGGACATCAGCTCACCAAGGCTCAGGTGAGATGAAGGACTGCCTTGATCCAGTAAGGCTCCAGTTCCTACAGGACATAAATGCCAGCATCCTCTGAGCTGGCCCAGCACACAGGACAATTGCTGGAGGAGTCACGATCAGCAGGTCTTCATCTTCTTCCCAGATGGCCTCAATGCTCCACATGCCATGAGAAACTCCCTAACAGAAGTTGTTGCTCCTGACATTTAACAAACTGCTTCACTTTCCAGGCGCTGGTGTGCCATGTCAACCTAGCAGGACACACGGTTTGAAGAAGCAGAGCTTTTTTTCCTCACTTGACATTTGCATACATCACTGTCCGTCAGGCTCAGCACAAGCTCTGCAGCTCCTCAGCCCGTGCATGGCTGCACTGCCTCCCCGTTACCGCAGCCTGCCCTGCAGCTCTGCCAAAGCAAGCTGGCCCTGCAGTACCCTCTGCTGTTCCACTGCCGACAGTTCCCAGGAGGCAGTTTTCACTGCTCAGTTGCCTTTGTGAAGGAGTGGGAACATGAACCCACTCCTTATCCCTTCGTAAAAGGAGGGAAGCAAAGAATAAAGCTGTGTCCTCTTCAAAAACTTCTTCCCTTGGAACCACCTCCGTTCTCACATGCCAGGGATTCCTCTGCCAGGGAGTGGAGAGCTCATCCACCCCTGGGTGGGCTGAGACACCAAGAGCTGTCTGTCACGTATCCCTTCCCATACCATCTGATCTGCACTGCAGGAAAAGATGTGCTTTGAGCAGTGGCTAATTGGAGACAAAGGCCAGCAGGGGAGGAAAGCGTTATTAACCACCTTCCCCACCCAGAACATTTATGTGTAGCTGAAATGAGGAAGGAGGTGCTGGACAGGGAGACATCTCAGCTTGTCATAAGGAACCCCAGCTGCTCTGGCACAAAGCAGCCATCAGTTACTCGAACACAGAAAAGAGCAAGAGGAGAGATTTCCCTTATGACAATTTTGAATGAGGAGGGGAAAAAAAAAAAAGTGAAGAGAGATCAAGTTACTGTCAGGTTAAAAACAACAGCATGAAAAACAAAAGCTTTAATGTGCAAGCAGAAGAAAAAACCAGGAAGGGCACGGACAGCTAGCTCTTTTCAAAGCTTAGGGAACATGCAGTTATAAACAGCTTCAGGAGCATTCTGTCTCAGCAATAGGAGCCGAAAGTTCCTCTTTGAAAGGGACAACCTTGGTATTTCCTTGCATGAAGATGCATGTCTCTGCCATGCAAGGGAATGGCTTTCAGAGGAGGAGAGCTAGAAGTGGTACGCATATGAGTTATCCCCAGGCACCTGTTACAGTTTTACTTTGCCATTATATCAAGTAACCGGTTGATTTATACCATCTTGAAATCATATCCTGATTTCAAGGAGCCGGAGAAAGATATGCACAGCTAAGAGCTGGCAATTCACCAGTCCTAATGTTCTCCTCTGGAGGACGCTGGCAAAAGCCCATACAACAGGGCACTGTCTGCACGATACCCAGCCTCTGGGGCACTAGCACTTCTTCAGTGCTAAGTCTACCTCTCATTCCCCTACTCCCAGAGCATCATACATCATCAGGGTCACAGTACCTCAAAACACTAAAATCTCAAACTGCTTTTGATCCGCAAACAGCAACAGAAGGAAGAACTACTATTTGTTTGCAACAGAAACGTAATGAGCTCAAGAACAGCAGGGCTGTGCTACGCCTAAGGATAAGAAGAAAAGATTATCCTACAAAGCCGGGCAGCAGGGAAAGTGAAGAGAAGCATGGATGTAGCAGAAGGTAGGTAGGGCTCAGCATTTCCCTCACGTGAAGGATGCCATGATGTTATCAGGGACTGCAAGCTACAAGGATGTTAGCAGGAAGTTTCTTGCAGGGTCACAGTACAAGGTGGTTTGAACACAGGCAGGCCCATATCTACTTCCATCCACAGTCCAAGGATGGAATACAATATTCTTTCACCACCTTCGTTACGAGCTACTGCTCACAGTGCTAATGCAAAGCAGCAATACCTCATGCTATGCATTTCCTTTGCAACTTTGAGGCAATTGACCACACGGTGCCACTGACTCACTGCCAGCACAGCCAGCTGGAGCAAGCCATCAGTGCAGTTACCTTTCCAGTAAGGTCAGGCAAAGGGAGAACCAGGCTCCGTCTTAATTATCTTCTTTTCCTTTCAGCAAGGGGGCAAGCAGAAACATTTGTTCAAGGCTAGTTGGGATGGAGGCTGTGCAAACCGATCTATCGCCTGGTTGGTAGCCTTGGCCATGGCAGGGGGTTGCAACTGGATGATCCTTGAGGTCTCTTCCAACCTGAGCCTTTCTATGATTACATGATTCTGTGATAAAGTATCTGCTCTCAGTCAGGTATTAACACAGCAGTTGGCTTCCAGTGTTTTGCTACCCCCTCACCAATGGGAGTCGTCAAAGCAGGAAGATGGATGAAAAAAAGAAAACTGAAGGGTGAGTCTATACAAGGCCAAGGTGAGGCTGTTCAGAACACAACTGAAAAACTAAGGCACTGCTTCCCCTTCCCACTAAAGGGGAACACATGCCATACATGACATCCACAAACACTGGGTTTGTGCACAAGGCTTTGCAATGCCTCAACTAATCAGTAGCATCAGCGGTGAAAAAGAAAGGTTTCTCTTCCTCCTCTGTGTACTCTCGTAAGAGACCAAAGTGCTCCAAGCCAGCAGCTACGATCTAGTACATAAATAAACTAAAATGGATGCAACGTAGAGATCCAAGCTTTTTATGTTTTGCATCTGCCCAGCTCTCCACCTTTCAGAGGAGCAGTACCTTGGGACTCCATACATTCTATGGTCTTCCACTGTTTGACTGTTTTCATCTCTTACCCTGCTCTTTAGTGGGAAATCTTGGCTATTTTAGACGCCGCATCTTTCGCCACAGCAATATAGAATCACATAATATCCTGAGTTGGAAGGGATGCACAAGGAGCATCAAGTCCAACTTGACAGCTAAATAGTTTGCAACAACACAGCTCTCAACTCTCAGAACACAGCACATGGGACCTGGAGATAAAATGGTCTTTGTTGACAGCATTCTGTCTCAAGACTGATCTTTCAGAAGTCACCAGAATAAACCAACATCTAAACACCTTCAGAGTCCATTATAAAACCCTTCACTTGAACAGATTGTTCTTACTGTAACTGCCATAATACTAATAGCAGCATAATTATATAATTCTCCAGCCCCCGGTTTAAAAGAAGATCAGCTCAGAGAAGACTAAAAAACTCTGCTGAAATCCAATAACGGCCTATGAGACACCAATTTAATTTTATCCAAGAACTACTTGGCCATCACAAGGGTATAGTACTGCATGCTAAAGAAAACTTCAAGCTGGATTTCTAACTCCATGGGAATCTAACAAATATTCTTCTCAGTATCCTTCAGCTGTACTAGGCTCCCTTGTAACTAATGTTCTCTCTCTAACCAAAGCCAGTCCCACCATAGGGATTTCCATGATTCTAGAGATGCCTCAGCACGCTCTGATCCTTCAGATGCTCTCAGAAAGCACAATTTTGATTTCTCAGCACCACTAGGTTAAGCATTCTTTCCACTAAAGGGAAAATAGCACTTTTGTCCTCTTCTCTCCTTCACTTACGCCTGATATCCTGAAAGGACTCTTCCTCACAAGATCTAGTTTCCTGAAGAGCGTTGTGATGACTCTGCAGGCTGCATCACCACTTGGCCTCAAAATCAGGTCCCAGGACACGTGCTCACATACATACACACACACCCAAAGATGCAGAGCCCTTCTCCCAGCCAAACGCAGCGCTGCTGCTCCCTGCTTCACACGTGCAGTGGTTATGGGAACACAAAATGGAGTCTGCTAGTTCAGTTGCTTTCTGACTGGTTCCTTACAGGGAAGGAATGCTCCATCACGAATCCAAAAGGAAACAGGAATGAGACAGCACAAAAGCAACTTGTGTCCTCAGGGAGGCCGCGGCCATGGAATAATCAAAGAAGTATGTGAGAATTCTCAGCTAGTCTCGATGTATTGCAGACAGAGACAGGGACATGGCCACTTTGAGGATAGAAAACTATGCTTTCAAAGACCAAGCAGTGCATTATGGAAGCACGGAGGTGGTTTCATAGGTTCTCACTCTTCACTCACCACCTTCACGGCTCACCACCCCTAGGCTGTCAGTATAAAAGTTCACATTGGAAATCCAAATCAGCACCCAATCTGAGTTAAAAATAAACTTCAAGAGAAGTGCCTAAGGATGAGAATGAGCGGCTGACAGCAGCAACTTCCTGGATGACAGTTATTCACCTCTCACCAAAGCTGCTGCATCACATAGTTGCATCCTCAGACACTCAAAGGGACAGGCCACTTTTTGAGCAGGGTTCATCTAACCAAGACTGCAGTGAGGCTCCCAGTCAACTGCTGTGAGCTAGTCAGTTTCTGGAAGCATCAGGGAAGAAGAATGTCTCAAGGACAGATTTGGAAGACAAAGTGCTTTCAAAGCAGACCCTGGCAGGCAGTCCACATATGCTGAGCAAGTCAAGAATCCCGAGAATAGCACCAAAATGAGCAAGCAAGATGAAACTCAGAGCTGAGGGCATGTGGCAGTCATGCACCAGATCATGCAAGCAAGAAGCACCTGATGCCACGGTGATGGGCTTAGTTCACAGGCCCACAGTGGCAGGAATAAACCACGTTGCCTTTGGTTGTTTGTGAAGTGAGTGGCAGTTGTTTGTGTGTCCCCAGAATAAAAGCCCTCCAAATCAGACCGAGAAGGTGACTCATTAAGCCCCAGAAAGATGATAAATAATGAGAGGCCACAGAGCAGCAGCAAGACCCTAGTGGCCACAGGGAAGAGTCGGCCCTCCATCCCCGCCTTCCTTCCTCCCCCATCCATCACCAACCACTTGGGGTTTGGCAGGGCACTCGCTTTCCCACAGTAGCTGATCTATTACTCTTCAGAAGAGCGTTCCCAGCCCCTTCCTTCCCCTCCCTTCAGGCCACAGGGGTCCCCCACTTGGCAGCCCCCAGATCCCCCTCTTCTCTGAATGTCTGGTGACCAGCCAACCCCATGCAGAAAGCATTAACCCCTCTTCACCGGGAGCAGCCAGAGAAACCTGACTCCACGCTGAGAGCTTTCTCTGGGTGTCTCCCCCTCCTCCTCTACTTCCCACCCCCAATTCCCTCCCACACCCCATTCTCCCCCCTTCTGCTTCTCAAAAACTAACTCCAGCCCCGGGAGTGTTGCATCTTCCCAAGAATGCTACACGAACCCATGGGAATTTTCCTTGGACCAAGAACAGACCCTTATTTATTTGTCTCTTCTGCCTTTGTTCCCCATTTCCTCTTTCAAGACTTAGGCAAGACCTCGACACAGTGCCGCCCGGATCCCCCGCTGCCACTTCACTTTGTTATTATTTTCAGGAGGAGAGCGCTGATAGGCAGAAAGCTCTTCAATGCCTTGCCCTCAGGCAGCAGCGAATCAGCCCAGACACCCAACTCCGGGCTGTGCAAAGGGCACGGGGCTCTGCGGAGCACCTCGGGCTCCGGCACACACAGACAACCCCCTGCCCGCGTAATCCTTCTGACTGCAGCACGGCAGCCCTTCGGATTAAGTCCGCACAAATCAAATCGTGGGTAACGGCTCTATGCCGGTAACAGGCATATGGCACCATGAAGAGGGGCAGTTTCCCGGAATGAAATCAAAAGCCTCCTAATGCACTTAGCTCAGGGTCACATAAATCTCTCTTCTGCCTCCCGCAGAGGGTTGGATCTTGTTTACAGGCACTGCAGCAGGCCTGGGTCTCAACAATATGTTTATTTCTCTGTACAAACATTCCTTTTCACAAAGCAAAGCAGTGTCCTGATCCTCAGATTAAGCTGAGCAGAGAGGACTATGGAGCACGTCTTCGGAAAAAGAGAGCTTGTTGTCATCAGTGAAGACAAATGCCATAGTGGACATCACACCGGCTGCTGCTGTAACACTTCCCACTCTCCAGCACTGTGAGGCTGCACCTCAAGTTGCTGTGTTCAGTTCTGGGCCCTTCACTACAGGAAAGACATGGAAGTGCTGGAGTGTGTCCAGAGAACGGCAGCAGAGCTGTGAGGGGTCTGGAGCACAAATCTGATGGGGAGCAGCTGAGGGAACTGGAGATGTTCAGGCTGGAGAAGAGGAGCTCAGGGGAGATCTCATCGCTCTCTTCAAGTCACTGTAAGAAGGTTGTGGTTGGCCTCTGCTCCCAGGTAACAGTGATAAGATGAGAGGCAACGGCCTCACATTGTGCTGGGGAAGTTCAAGTTGGATACTGGGGAAACGTTCTTCTCCATAAGAGCGGTGCTGCAGCGGCACAGGCTGCCCATGGAGGTGGTGCAGTCACCACACCTGGAGGTGTTCCAGAGCCGTGTGGATGTGGCACTGAGGGACGTGGGCAGTGGGCATGGTGGGATGGGCTGGCCATTGGACCAGGTGATCTTAGAGATCTTTTCCAACATTAATGATTCTGTGATTCTTCTCCAAGACTGCCTTATGTCTCAGGGAAGGATGGAGAGAAAAGCAAGGCTTTGTCTTGGGCTGAGACCCAAGTGGAACCACATATCTCATTGCAAGGATGTCTGGCGGTTATCTGACCAGCCCCTTCCCAACGCAAAAAACCACAAACTTACACCACGCAGATAAAAACACAGAAGCTGAGCCCTTCAGTTCAGCAGTACGATGCAGGGCAGTTAATGCTGCAACCTCCTGATCACAGACCAAGTTCCACTTCCTTTTATGTATTCAGCGACATAAACATTTATTCTGAATTCTGTTTCTGAGAAGTTAGCTCCCTGCACAGCCATGCCAGAAAGAAAGGAGAAGAGGAAGGCACTAAAATCTCTTTTCTCAACACCCCATGGGGAACAGGAAGGAGGTGCAGGGCAGAGGGGACCACAGCCACATTTTGAACACCTTGCAAAATCTGACATACTGCTAAGAAACACTTGGACAGGACTGCATGGTCTTTCAACAAAGAAAAGGTCTCGAGCATCTGAATATTTCAGAATCATAGAATCATTAAGGTTGGAAAAGACATCTAAGGTCATCTAGTCCAACCGTCCACCTAGCACCAATATTACCCTGCAAAGTCCATCCCAGCTCCACTGCACAGGCCTGTAATTGAGTCAGGGACCAGATCCAAGCATCAGATTCACCATCTCCAGCCTGACATCATCTCCCCACTGCAAGGACAGCGCTCTGAGCTGAGGGAAGCCATGCCACAGAGATGCTCCACACTTGAACGATGCAGAAAGTGAAACTGCATTTTTTTTTTTTTTTTTTCAACGAGAGCATCCGCAGGGCAATTCAGCTGCATCAGGACACATGCAGACAAACAGGGCCAGAAAGGAAGCCCACAGCACTTCCTCACTGTTCAGTGATAGAACCTGGATGCCTGACAAACACCCTTCCCTCCCCCCCAGCGCTCATGGGAAGCAAGAAGACTCTGTTCCAGAGCACAATGGCACCATAAATAATTCAAGAGACTGCTAAATTATGCAGAAGCAATCCCATCATCCCCCCCTGGCCAGGCTGGGTGCAGGTGTGGTCAACCCTTGCTCCAAAAGTTGCTGCGAGATGGGGAATTTGAGGCCACGGAGGCTCAGTGCCAATGGCGCATATACGGGAACACAGTGGCCACTTGCATCACACAACAGCACGACAGGAGGTATTTGGGGACACCCAATAGGGAAACAGCCATTTCTTTGGGCCACCTCTTCTCCAGAGACCTCACACAGCCCTAGGAGGGTAGCAGGACCTGCAGTCCTCCCAGGCTGCGTAGGACAGCGAGGCAGAGGGAGAGGAGCTGTGGGGCAGGAGTAGAGGAACCAGTGTGCTCAAAGAGGAAGCAGCCTGTACTGATCTCCCCAGGGCAATGCTCACCCAACCCGCCCTTGTTTGCCTGCCCCGCACTGCACAGGCACAGGGCTTACCCGCAGCCCCTACCTCTTCCAGCTCCTGCAGGCTCTGTGCTGTGGCTGTGCCCAACGTGCTCTGTCTGCAGGCAGCTCTATCTTCCTCCTCCTCCTCCCCAGTGTCCAGCTTCTCCCAGAAGCATCCACACTGGCAGAGGAGGAACTGAAAGCACTGCCATCGCCCTCGCTTCAGCCTCAACTGAAAATCACAGGACTGCAGCTTACCTTTCTCTTCCTCCTTAAAGGGCTCTGCATCAGGGAGCGGGGCTCCCTTCAGAGCCACGCTGCTGTCTGCTGGGCTCCACTATCTGATAGCCAAAACAGGGGATGCTAACGCAGATAAAGTCAGCGGAGCAGCTCCCTGCGTTACACAGCAGCTGCTGAAGGCGTTCCGCAGCGGCACACATTTGCATTGGTCTCTCGGTGTGCCTCAAACCCGATCGCTGCGGTGCTGCTATCATGCAAAGCACACACAAAGCAACACCCCCACAGACAGAAAGACCCAAAGGAATGGATGGCAGAGTGACTCTGCTCACTAACCCTGGCCCAACCTGCAAGGGTTGGCACAACGGCAGGATGCTACTGGGAAGAAACAGCAGATGGAAAGGGAAGCAATTGAGTGGGGCAGCGTGGAAGTGGCCCAACCCCCAGCTCAGCCGTAGAGCACTCCCTAGGGCCAGCATCATGCTTCTCAAACTGCCCGAGCACCCCAGTCCTGACCCCGCAGCCCCACCATGCATGGTCACAGTGGGTCATAGTGGTCTTTTTCAATCTCCATGATGGTATGATTCTCTACAGGCAGGGCTGATAGCCTGAACTAGCCCTTCCAGGCACCTCACACTGTACCAGCCGGTGCCCCCCCCCCCCCCACACTGCCTTCCCTGCTGACTGCTGTCAGCTGTGCCAGTCTTCGTTAGCACCACCTCCTCCAGCCACATCCCACTGATTGGGTCACAGACTCCAACAATGTACAAAAGGCCCATTTTAGAGCCAGTAACCCCACCTCAAACCTCTCCAGCCTGCAGGAATGAACGCTGGCCCAGTGTGCCCCATCCATTCATCACTGTGTTTCCCAGCTGCTTTCCTCCCACTTTTATAATCCACTGCATGAGCAGGGTTAAATAAATAAATAAATAAATAAAAAGAAAAATATCAGTTTTGGATGGCAGGTGCACTTTGAGGATGCTGTCTGGTGGACAGGAGGAAGCTCAGGCACAGAAAGCTGAGAACTCAGTTATAAGCCCTGCCACGAGACTGAGTTTATCTCTGCCTGCTGACAGGTTCAAGCAAGGGAGAGTCAGAGAGGGAAACTCATCTGAACTAAGTGTCCTTCACACACACAGCAGTATCCCCATACACTGTCCTGAGTGGCTCCTCATACCTGTACTCATGGCTGTGTACACACACCAAGCTTACTGTGGCCATAAGCCCTATAGAAGGGTCCATGCTCATGTAAACATCCCCAGCAGGACCTTGTTGCACGTACCCAAACTCTCACCTGAGCTTCACACAACCACCCCATAAGGACACACGATGCGACGTGACACCAACCAGAGTCACACTGCGCATCACCCAGTGTGCGTGGGAATGAGGAGAGGAGGATAAACAATGCAGAGGAGAAGCACAAACACCAACTCCATACCTACAGACCCTGAGGGCAGCTGTGATTGCAGCCTATACACTGAGCAGCCCCCACAGCCCAGCTGTCCCCATCCCCTGCTGGGGATACAAGGCCCACAGTTAGAACTGCAGGCAGTTCCCGCAGTGCAGGTGCACCCATTGGCTTCCACCTCTTCTTCCTGACCACCTTACCAGGGTGATCCCCATATGCCACACAGGTAGATCCCTCTTCTTACAACTTTACCAATAAGTGGATGGAGGGATGCTGATGTCCTACGTACCTCTGGTGGAGATGAGCTCCTGCAGTGCCACATACCATAGCTGGGCACAGCAGGCAGCAGCAGGGTGGGAACCAGGTAAGAACTCACCTACAGCTACCAGAACTCCTCCCATAAGAAAATAATTGCTGCATCCAGGACATTGATAAACAAGCCATACAGGTACTGGCCTCCCTCACGTGGAGGAAATGCTGTACCTTCCAGCACGTTTCTTACCACTTCTGCAAGATCCTCCGAGGGCACTGAGGGTGTGTAAACCTTTGGGGGACTTTTAGGTTCCATTCTCCATCCCCTCAGCCATTGTCCAAAGGCTGAGTTATATCGTTATGGGTGCTCCCCAGGAGCAGCACATCAGGTTCTCCCCTCCCTCCCCAGTCCAAAGGGTGCATTCCCAACATCACCATGAAGCTGAAAGCACAACACAGATGCTACAGCTGTGCACAGGGAGCTCTGGTAACTGGAATGCTGGAAGGTGGGAAGCCTGTGGGTTTTTCCTCCTATCCGAGACAGCTCTTTGCTGTCCAAGGGTCAAGCAATGGCAGATTCTACAAGATTTCAGCTCTCCCAGAGGAGCTGGCTCCAGCAGCAGGGTCTTGCTGGTGACTCACAAGTCACAGGCTGCAGCTGGACTCAAACACCACTTCTAGACAGGGACCCGTGGGTCACCCTTAGGGAAGGGGGCTGAGAAGTCCCCGCTGACTCACGTCCTGTTGTGTTCGGGTAAAGAGGGACAGAAGTAGGTGGGCAAAGAGAGATGGATGGGAGTAGGTGGGGATCTGGAATGCAGTTTGCACAGGGCTGGGGGCTCCTGGTGGCTCGAATGCTAACATGGGCTCGAACTTCCCTCACTGGAAGAGGGATCCAGAGGTAAACGGGGGGTTGTTACAGGGAGGAGAGGTGCTTGGCGCCCACGCATGGCCCATAGGATAGAGGGAATCCCAGCTGCAGTGCTGGAATCAGGCAGGGCTCCCAGAACTGCAGCCCATGGACCCACTTGGTGCCTCTCCCTCCCGTTCCACATTCCCTCCCTGAGCAAGCCCAGAGCCGCAGCAGACACACACTCCCCATCACCCTTGTCACGCTCACCCAGAGAGCAAAACTCACAAGGACAGGGCTGCGCCAGCCCGTGCCACCCCAGCAGGAACACACAGCGATTCCCATCTCACAAACAACGTGGGTGCCCACATCCCCCCCGCAGCCAGTGCTCAGCCGGGGGGGCTCAGTCTGACGCGGAGCCAGAGCGGGGGGGGGGGGGGGGAAGGCTTGACGCTGATGGCACACATGTATTTGTGTGTGTGTGTGTGTGTGTGTGTGTGTTTGCCCTCCCACGCACGCACTCCTGTTACTCCTTCTCGCCCGCTGCAGCCTTGGCACGCGTCCCCAGCCCGTGCCCTGCTCGCAGGCAGCAGCTGGGCCTCCGCTGCAGTGCCCCGGCCAGAGGCTGCCTCCATCCAGCCGTCCATTCATCCATCTATCCATCCATCCCCGCAGCTGCGGGCAGGGGGCTGGCGGCATCGCA